GTAATTAGCAACGCGTTAGTAGAAATCGATGATGCAACGTCATCTGTGAATTTAAACGTTAAACTTTTTGCCGCGTTATCGTTTTAAGTCGATAAGGAAGATGGACATACGATCGGTAAAATTACGACGACAAAATTCTCTGGTATCGCGCTTAAATCGAAAAGAAAATAAAGAAAAATAAAAAGAGAAATTCTGTAAGTTTGACCCTTCGAAAATAATGACGGATGAGAGTGACGTGTGTATATGGCATGTGCGCAGGCTCGGAAAAAACGGCAGGAAGAGGTGGAGAAGATACGACTGGAAGAACAACAACGAAAGCAACAGGTAATCCTAAAATCGTTGTTACACGTTAGCCTGGTTTCTCTCTACTATTCCGTACTTCACATTTTCCTTCATTCTCTATCGCTCGTTTTTCAAAAATAAAAATTCAGCCTGGAAATTTCCTAACTTTATTCACGTTATTCCAGGTAACAATGTTATTTACCGATAAATTAACTTCCAATTCGTTTATTCGATTCTTCTTTTCCTTTTCTATCGTAGATTCAATTATAAATTTATAACTTTTTTATTTTTCTTTTTCCCTCTCGTGTTAAAAGTCTGTTTTAAAAAAACTGATTCTTCAAACATTCTAAAAGGATTTAAAGAAATTTCTTTTGAAAGTGGAATTTAATTTGTCGTTCGAATTTAATCAACTCGTACGAGAATCGCATGTTTCGTCTTTTTTCCCTTAATTACGTTTTTGTCCCTCGTCGAGTTTTCTCCTTCGTCGAATTTTATTTGTTTAATTTTTTTCTTTTTTTTTCTTTTTTCTTTTTTTCTTTTCTCACTCTGTTCCATGTGAAAAATACATACGCCTCTTCAACTTCATTAGTTGCTTTTTAGAAGAACAATATTTAACGAACGAGAGAAAAATGACCACGAGCATTCTCTGTGATTTCTCAGGAACGCGAGCTGAAGCGGCAGCAGGCAGTTATGCTGAAAGAACAGGTGAGTCTAAAACGAATTTTCCTTTATTTTTTCCTCTCTCTCTCTCTCTCTCTCTCTCTTTCCTCTCTTTTTTTGGATCGTTTTCTTGAATCGTGTCATTGCTGTAGAATAGACAGTGTGCGAGTGTGTGTGTTTCTTTATTTCTCTCGTAGAAATATATGAGCTTCCGTTTCGTGTACACACATTTTTTATCTACATATATCGCTTATATTCATTCATATTTCCATTTACTAATCTCCTACGCGATTAAATATCAAATTATAATATATTATATATCTCTATTTTTATCTTGATATATACATATTTAGATTTTTACTATTTTTTATTTATTTTACTACTTTTTTTTTCTCTTTTATTTTTAAAATATGCACATATTTCTTTGAATGTTATTATATCCTTTTTTTTCTATTTTTCTATTTTTAAATAAAAATCGCATCGTTTGTTTTTTTATATATATATATAAAAAAAAAAATAAAGCTATATGACGGTGAGGAGATCCATAATTATCGATGCTTTTATAAATCATATAAAGACACGCTATATCAGAGTTCTGTTATACGTATTTGCTTCTTTAGTTTTTGTAAACTGTAATTTCGTCTCTTTGGTTCCTCGAACGTCGCGATCTAAGATTGCTTTGAGTTTCGTTTGAGATACGGGTGTGAGTTTGGTTTTGACGTAGCAACGATATGGATTGAACAATCTATCTATTAGAATAAATTTAAATAAATTTCCAAAATTTGTACTTCTTTCAAAAAACGTAACATATGAAAAATCGTTAATCAATGTTGACCAACGATATTGATTTTACAACGATGTGAATTGATCACTGTTTCAATTTTTTTTTTTATCTAATTTTAAAAAGGATATTAACAAAAACAGTTTGAAGCTGATTGACGAATTCAATGTTTTTCGAATTGAAAAAATTCACTTTTTTATAACGATGATTGATAAATGCGTGCGCGAGAAAGAAAACGAATTGTTCTGACCGTGTAAGGTAGTTGAGCACTGGTGGACTGTGGATGTGTTTTGTGCCGCAGATGTACATGCAGGAGCTCACCAAGCAGCGCGAGATGCTCTACACCGTCGAGCTGGTATGTCTCATACCCAATCTAGTTTAATTAAAACGACTTTACTAAAATGGAACGAGTCGAATTTACAAATTTTAAACTCGTCATTGTTTATACCAATAAAAAGAAAAGAAAAGAAAATGAAAGAATTTTTATCGATTCTTCGTCTTTGATGATCGATGGATTAAATTTTAAAATCGATATATTTTAAATAATATTTTATTTTTTAAATTTAATCTAATTTGAATGATATATTTGAAAATTTAACTTTTACAATTTTAAGAAGAAAATTTTTAATTTGAAATTTTCATAATTAAATATTTCACTTGAATAATTTTATTATAATTTTTTTTTATTAGAAAATATGTGAATAAATAACGAACGATCGATAATGCGAAAGTAAATCGAGTTGACGAGTTTAAAGTTACCATATATAGTTGTGAATCACTAGCTAAAACTAACTAATCTGCACTTTGTCAGTTCCTTGTCGAGAATTTTAGATTCATTTATAAGCCATCGTCGAATAAAATCAAAATTCAAAACAATATATTTTGCCACGCGAGCTATACTAATGCTTTTTGTAATATTCACGTTCACTAACCAGTTCTTCGGTGATAACATGTCCATTCCTCGCTTCGATCATATCGATAGAATATTCAGATGCTTGTATCTCACATGATCAACGATCATAATAAAAAATTTATATCTATAGAAATTAAAAAAAAAAGAAATGAAAATAAAATAAAATGCATGGTCAAAACGTATTAATCATTCGAAAAAATTTATCAAACTTACCAAAGTTGAAACAGGTTGGGTAAAAGAATAGTTTTGCACGGTGTTTTTGAACAAAAGTCTACTATCAAATGTAGCCTCTTTTGAAACACCTTGAAAATGTAGAAGTTGTTGTAGCCCGTGTGTGCCACAGTTGTGCTTTTAACAAAAATATTTTACGAGAAATTCTCTGCATGGAATGTCGTTGATTCTCTATGTATCTTTTTTCTCGGTTCAATGGTTTCTCGTTAAATAATTTAGGAAAGAGAACGAAGGAGGCAGCACATGGCATTGGTTCGAGCGTTAGAAAACCGCCGAAAAATGGAGGAAAGGGAGAAAAAACGATTGGAGGCGAGAGCCGAGAGAATAGCAACGAAAGAGAAACGTGCCGAACAAAGGAAGATGGAGATGGAACTGATCGAACAGATCAGAAAGCCTGTTGAAGATATGGAACTAACTGGTATGTCTTTGCGAAGCTTTTGTTCATATAATTTGTAAATTCTGTAACATGTACTGAATTCTCTGGTTTCAGATCATAGATCACTGCCAGAACTAAAACGAATACCTGGTCTGAAATTATCCGGCCAAGCGTTTGCAGACATCGTAATGGTGTTTGAATTTCTACATAATTTCGGCGAGACTTTAGGCTTTGGTAAGTGATTGTTCAATCGAATAAAACTTTTAAAGCAATCATTATTTCATGTAGATATTCATAGTTCTAATTAATAATTTCTATAGATATAGTTCAAATATTAATCTTCATTTTTAGATATGGAATCGCTCCCAAGTTTAAAAAGCCTTCAATTGGCGTTGCTCAATGACGAGGAAGCAGAGGAAGAGCTTCTGTCCGTAATGACACATCTATTAGTATGTGCGATCGAGGATCCAGGAATCCCTCAACCAGCGAGACACACGACAGGCCTTGGCCAAAGCCTCCGACAAGCTGACATAACGCATGCCAACATCAGTGAAGTGTTACGAATCTACTTATACGCGAACGCGACAGGAGAAGTGAAGGCTCTGACAGGAGTATGTCTAGAACGGGAACGCGATAAGAAATTTGCCGATCATCATCAGAATGGTGGTGATTATGCTTCGACCTGTTCGGGCAAAAATGCTCAATTTTACGAGCATCTACATAATAACGAAACATGGAGGATGTCCGAAAGGTTGCGAGACAAACCATTCCTAGCTTTGAATCCGACGCACAAGGCACAAATGCTCGCGTTCCTTTGTAACGAGCTATTGCAGAACAAAGCTGTGATCAGACAGATCGAAGGAAGCTTGGAAACAGTAGCTCAGTTAAGAAAAGAAAGATTCGTATTGGACACAAAGATAAGAAAGTAAGTATTTTTATTCATGATTTAAGGTTATGAATTTAGAGTGAGATTAATAATTTTATTTGAATATTTATGTAGATTGAGACAGTTACATAGTCGAAAGGTACGAATGGAAGCAGTGGGTGTAATAGTTAATAAAACTGGAGACACCATTACGATTGAGAAAAAAGAGGGCGATGAGGAGGGTAACACGTCGTCAACGGCAGTAGGTACGACACCCACTCCTGATGAGATTCATCATGAAGATGAAGTTGAAGACATGTCCGAAAATGAGAGTGAAGGAACTCAACCTGAGGAGGTAAATTATATAATTTAAAATATATTGATTGATCTGTTATAAAATAAAGATTTTATGCATTTATATATGTATAATTTAGGAAGAAGACAAAAATCTCTCTGGTGAAGAGCTCGGTAAAAAGTTGGACAAATTATTAAAACAGTCAGAAGAACAATTGCAAAAATTGAATAGCTCTTCAAAACAACTACGAGCCCACATATTTGGTCAAGATAGGTATTGGAGAAGATATTGGGAGTTAGCATGTGCAGGTGGGATTTTCGTCGAGGCCATGGAAAGCGCAGAACCTGAAATCCTCGAGTTGCAAGCTGAATTAGACGAAAAGTACAAAGATGTATCGATGGAGGAGAAAAGAGAAACAAAACAAGAAGACACTAAAGTCGAGAATCGTGAGAATGAAGCTCCTAATGACGTAAAGAAGGAAAAGAAGTTCAATTCAAATGATCAAGAAGATATGAAACCTTTAATAGAAAAAACGAAATCTGAAATTGAAGATATTAATTGTAAGAAAGAACCTATGCAAAACTGCGAAAATTTAACGAATGTTAAGGAAGAGAAAAAGAATGATTTAGATAATTCAATGACTGATGCAAAGACCAATGTTACATCTGAAGAGATTAAACAAGAAACAGAAGTAATTAGTATGGATGTGGATGTCAAAGAAGAAACAAAAAAAGAAAATGACGAAACGGATGAAGATATGAAACCAGCGGTAAAGATGATGGAAGATAAAATTGTTGAAACAATTCCAAACGGTGATAAATTCAATCATGTGAATAACCTTCATAATGGGAAGGAATTGAATGGCACCTTTATTTCCAGTAAGATTTCTTCAATCTATTATACATTAAAAAATCTTTAAAAATGTTTGTGCTAATGTTATTTACTTTAATAATTTCAGATAATAGTAACGAATCGAATTGGTTCTCAATTTTACCTCGGGAAACTTGTGATACTCCAGGACCAAGTACCAAACAAATATTTGGAATAGCCGAACCAACTGAACTGAGAATACCAGTATTTCCTCCACCGGCTAGTCCAAATTATGATAGATGTGATAGTCCTGCTCCTTTAATTTTGACTCAAGATGAAGCAGCGCAACTTGAATATTTAAAAGTTCATGGTTTACCACCTCCTGGAGAAGCTAAACCAGTACCAAATGGCAAGTAATATGTGATAATTAATTTTTTAAATTATCTAAAGTTATACTAATGTATTATATTGTTCGTTTTAGATTTAAGATATGGCTGGTGGAGAATAACGGATGTCGATACGTTTCAAGAATTGTTGGAACATCTTCATTCTCGCGGTGTTCGCGAAAAAGAACTAAAACGTACAACGTGGGCGACTATGGAATCTTTCTTAGCTGTTACAGGCAAGATCAACGTAGATCCTGGCAATCTTACTGCTACAGAACTTCAAGCGACACCTGATGAACCTGATACGCCAATTCCAAAACCAGACAATCCGGCAGTCTGGAGTGAACAAGTTGCGCTACGCGTGGATGCGCAATTATTGGAACAAGTTGAGGCCCTAGAAGATAAAGTCGCAAATGCCAGCATGCAGGTCAAAGGCTGGAAATTGCCTCCACGGGCAGGAACCGAGGAGGCTGAAGAAATTGAAAAACTGAACGAAATGGAAAAGATCAGTGCAGTTGAACAAGCCCGGCAAAGGTTATTGTCTCTAGAGGCCGCTATAGAAAGGAGATATTTGAAACCACCGTTAGGTGTTTGGTAAGATATTTAAATATTTATCTAGGATTTAAATATCACAAATTTCAATTGAGAATTCATTCCATTCGTTTATTTAAAATTATAGTACGGGAGATCCAAACTTAGCGGCTTTAAAGGCAGAACAAGCAGCTGCTGCAAATGCGAATTCGAATAATTCGGATCAGAGCAATCAGACCCCAGTACCTCAAGAAGAAACAACTCCAAGAGGGCTAAACAACTGGCGAGAGGCAACAGCTCGAGCACATACATCCGCTCAGCTGGCCATGGCACTTTATATGTTGGAGGCTAGCATCGCTTGGGACAAGAGCATCATGAAGGCTGTGAGTCTAACACCAGCTAGAAACTCGGTCTGCGTCAAGCTACGAAACCGCTGCGTCTCACTCAAAGCTACCACTCAATACAATCAGCTATTGACTACTTCTCAGGCCTCTGTGGGTATTCGCACTAACTTACTAACCAAAGTACCCTCTTCTTACTTCCTGCGTGATTCTTCTATCCTTCCTTGCACAATGAACCACAGAGAGCATATCGCTTTCAAAAATGATTGGTAAATGTTTGGTCAAACGAAATGCTCTTATCGTGGCACTTTCCGTAACATGTTCAAATGTAATATTGTAAGGAAGTTAAACGAATTCATGAATATTTTTAAGTGCGAATAATGCGGCAGCCATAGTTGTGAATTAACTAAAAATAAAATTGGAGAATTAATTATTTTAATATAAAACTTACAATGCATTTTGAAAAAATTGCTATAATTTAAAAGAAAAATAATTTATTGATGTGCTAAATGGTGGTTAGAGTCTAACGTAACGGTAGCATGCAAGAAAATGCCGCTTATCGTTTACTAATTTTTTCCTTTAATGCTTCATATGATTCCTTTTGTAGAATAGTTTCTATTTAGTTATAACTATATAATTATATGCATAATCTTAAAATATTTTATTATTTTGATTTTACTTTATACAAATTTTCAGTTATTCCAATCCACCATTTATATATCTAAATTTAGTTATACATTAAATTATATAATAATCAAAATGCATGATACAAAGAAATTAAAATTGCTTTGCACTAATTTTGTTAATTATATATTTCTGAATGTTAAAGTTTATCTTCTTATTTATTATATGTATTTTTTGTTGATTAACATTTATTGCATTGATGGGTTTAATTTTAAATGCTTAATTAATAAATGCTGAAACTGAAATCAATATTTTCGAAATATGCGTTTTATCATTTTAAATTGGAAAGTTTTTTTTCTTGTTACAGAATTGTCAATTTTGTCATAGCGGAGATAACGAAGACAAATTATTACTGTGTGATGGTTGTGACCGCGGCTATCATACTTATTGTTTCCGTCCAAAAATGGAAAACATTCCTGATGGTGACTGGTAAGAAATTGTATTTTAAATATTCAAATAACGATGATAAGTTCATTTGTAATTAAACAATTACAATTATGAATATATTTCAGGTATTGTCACGAATGCATGAATAAAGCAACAGGGGAACGAAACTGTTTGGTATGTGGAAAGAGAGTTGGTAAAAATTTAGTATTATGTGAACTCTGTCCAAGGGCTTATCACACTGACTGCCACAATCCTGTTATGCCAAAAGTAAGTGATTTTTTTTTATCAACATTTACATATATACATATATATTTAGATGTGAATATATTTTTTCAAAGAAATGTGTTATTCTCGTTTATTTAATTTACTTATCTCATATTTTTAGATGCCAAGGGGAAAATGGTATTGTTCTAATTGCCACAGTAAACAACCAAAGAAGAGAAATAGTAGTCGAAGGAGTCATACCAAAGGGGGAGGCACCAGAGAAAGTGAAAGTTCTGATCATCCACCAGCTAGGTGATTACGTTAAAAAAAAAAACAAACACTGTCAACACGCTGATTTAACAATGTTTGACATAAAATATACAATAGGGAAAATAACTACGAAACTATGACTCATATTATAATATTCAGCGAACGCAAACGAACAACCAATTTCCGATCGAATAGGAAACAAAAAGAAACTGTTTTAAAACGAATGAACATAAATGCATACACATCACTCTCATGCGATTATACTCGACTTACATCTTCGACCCATATCGTACATACTCGTCGAAAATTATGTTGTAAGAAAATATTTACTTCATACAGGGTGTTCCGCGATAGATTATATATAGTTAATATTCTTCATATATTAAAAATTATTGATAGGTAGGTTTTTCTTCATTCAAGTGATATTCTGTATCTTTATGAATACTATCGTGTCATATCTCTTCTCGTCGGGGGACACCCTGTACTTCGTACAGTGTGTTACGATCATCGACTAACGGGTTGGGTATTTTCTTAAAAAATTCGTCGTAACGGTAGAGCTGTCTTCAGGTTCTATGAAAATGTATAAAATAATAATACTAATAATAGTAATAATAATAATAATAATTATAATAATAATAATAATAACAACAATAATAATAATATTAATACTGTAATAATAATAATAATAATATTAATAATAAACCATAAAAGGGCAAAAACGACGAGAGAGAAAAAAGCGAGACCAAATAGAACGAAAGACAAAGAGTCAGAAAGACGAAATGTTCCATCGAGAACAACGTACCCGTCTCAAGCAGAAAATACACGCTCGAATCTTAATGCATTCGTCCAGAAGCTTTTAAGACGGAAAAACCTCCTGCAAACGAGAAAGATAATCGTGCAAATAATTTCTATTGTTTTGCGTCGCAGTCCAACGCCGTCAACGGCATCGAACACACACGTAGAGGACGTCAGTTCATCGGAACCAGCAACCCCAACTGCCTCACCACGGAAGGAGGGAAACAATAGGACGCTCACGAAGAAACAACAACGAGAGTTGGCTCCTTGTAAGGTGCTACTCGAACAGTTGGAGCAACAGGACGAGGCCTGGCCGTTCCTCTTGCCGGTGAACACCAAACAGTTTCCTACCTACAAGAAAATTATTAAAACACCCATGGATCTCAGTACTATTAAGAAGAAATTGCAGGATTCCGTGTAAGTTACACGCGTACCAACGACTACTAGTTAATTGAACGTACTCTCTATTTAGAAATGCCTCTTTCCCTAAACATAAAAAAAAAAAGTTCATCTAAGATCTCTAGAAAAAAGCTCTAACTTGATCGTCAGCTTCAATCCGAAAAAATTGGAAAATTGCGAACATGTTCCAAAGAGTGCTTCTCGATACAGGTACAAGTCTCGCGATGAGTTTTGCGCCGATGTCAGACAGATGTTCATCAACTGCGAGGTATTCAACGAGGACGACAGTCCCGTGGGGAAGGCCGGACATGGGATGCGCAGTTTCTTCGAAATGCGTTGGACCGAGATTACTGGCGCACCACCTCCACACCCGCAAACGCATAGCTGAGGCTCGGTTCGTTCTCGCAACACCTGCAACAGTTTTGCCCACTTCTACTACTAGAGGGTAAAACCCTCGAGAGTATCATTAGGAATATCATCGAAGAGATTAATCGCGAGACCTGTTTTCTCTGTGCTCTGTCGGCCTCGTTCTAGCGGTCGATTGAACAACTTTAATTCTAATAGAGAAAAAAATAATAATAAAACTCCACGAATGCGGATACATCTTCGTGCGCGTCGCGTTACGTGCGTGTTCTATTCGTCTCTGATCTTTTATTCGTTATTCGCCCGTAATCGACGCTCGCGTGGGCGCTTCTCGCATTCTAATCATACATATACTTTAATGCTCGAAAATAATCCAATGGTGGCGAACGTTTTTAACGGCCCGTACTTCTCTCTGTAGCATCGACGATGAACTTAAAAAACGCGATGTTACAAGAATTCTATATTCGTCGAGACGCTTCTGCCGAACAAAACTCAAGTTGCGTTTAACGAACCTCATAAGGATTGTAAGTAGGATAAATAAGAGAAGCTTTATCGAGGCCAGAAGCCGTAACAGAGATTTTACGTATACAATTACGTTTTGTGATTTGGAGCTTTTTAAAATCGACGCGACTAAAATATCCATATGTGGGATACTCTATTGAAGCCTCCAACCTGACCTCCTCCTCGAGTAGAAATGAAATGCAATGCAGATGGTCACTGTACTTACCAAGTAAAACAAGTAAATTTTGCCTAAGCGAACAAGATGTAATTTGCGATTGTATTATACAGGCTTAGTGCCGGCAAAAGAAATATTTTGCAAAGTAATGAATGTGAAAAGAAGAGGTATATATAAATAAATATAAATATATATGTATAAATATGAATATAGTGTATATGTATACTATATAGATAGTCACATCACATGAAACATGCAAAACACACATAACACCTCTGCCCACAAAAACATCAGCACGATAAGGGTAACATTTGCTGTAGAGTAAGATATGCAACATGACGACGAAGTCAATCTTCCAATTAAGGACATAATTTATGCCATTCCACGGATTTTGTCTCTAATTTTTATTGATTTGTTTTTTTATTTTAAATATTTTTTGACTCACACATGGGTTATTGATTAAATGATTACACGTAAATATAGTAATTTCATAACCCAATGTGAATTTTGACAACAGAAATGTGAATCTTTATCCATATTACAAGAAATTTTAAATAATTTACAAAGAAGAAAATTAAACTTTAAATAAATAAAATATGTATTTGAAAATGTATAAAGATAAATATGAACAGTTTTTAATAATTATATTTTAAAAAATCAATTTAGCATATCCTAAATCAATACTGCAATTATTCAATTAATATCATTCGAATTCAAATATCATATTTAAAAGCAATATATATTAAAGTTCTATTTATTTTAATAAATGATTAATTGTATACGTTGAATGGCACGTTTCTTTTAACAAAGAAAGAATGAAATTATAAATTTTAAAGCAAGTAATAAACAATCGTTTTTCCGTTTTTTTTTTCTTTTTTTTTTTTCTTTTTTTTTTTTTTTTAAA